TTGTTCTTCGCTGCGCAGTATTGCGTGGGCCGTGCCCGGGGGCGACTCTTCTCTGGAGGGCTGCTGGGGAGGAGGGGGCTGTGGGAGGAGGCGGGGCTGGGGCGATGGTGCGTGTGCCCACAGAGAGGGCTCTGAGTGCCACCTCTGGCACGCGTGCCATAGGTTCGCCACCACTGTCCTATAGCATTTCAGACAGATGGCTGTCCAATCTCTTCGTAAAAACCTCCAGTTATGGAGCACTCATAACTTCCAATAGCTTAAGGCCAACTAACCATGATTACTCATTAGGAGTAAAGGGAACTCATTTCTTCAGGTACTAGATCATCTTAATAATAATAATAATAATAATGATGATGATGATGATAATGATGATGATAATGATGATGATGATAATAATAATAATAATAATAATAATAATAATAATAATAATAATAATAAATAAAGTTGGAAGGGACCTTGGAGGTCATCTAGTCCAACCCCCTGCTCAGGCAGGAAACCCTATACCATTTCAGACAAATGGCTGTCAGTCTCTTCTTAAATCAGTGGTTCTCAACCTTTTTAATGCCGTGACCCCCAACCGGTCGTAAGTCGAGGACTAAACCGGTCGTAAGTCGAGGACTTTCCCTGCCCGGGAACACCGCGCATGCGTGGTTCCGCCCCCTGCGCAGGCCGAGGCATAGCTGGCAAGCGGCAGAGACGGAGCAGGCCGACCACCAGCTGGCCCAGCTCAAGGGAGATAAGGCACCCGCCAGAAAAGGGAAAAATGGCGGACAGCCTTGCTTGGCGACCCCGTGAAATGGTCGATCGACCCCAAATGGGGTCGCAACCCATAAGTTGAGAACTGCTGTCTTAAATTAACCCAGGGTTCTTCAAACTTGGCCCTTTTATGACTTGTGGACTTCAACTCCCAGAATTCCTCAGCCAGGCACACTAGCTGAGGAATTCTGGGAGTTGAAGTCCACAAGTCATAAAAGGGCCAAGTTTGAAGGCCCCTGAATTAACCTCAAGCATTATCCAGGTTTGGACCAGCACATCTATCAGCCACAGCCCACCTAGGGAGAGATTCAGGACAGAGAAGAAATTGCCTCTTTCCTCCTTGTTCCAAAATGAAGCTCAAATGGCCAGTCGGTGCCAAAAATAGCAAGTTGGTAAATTGGATTAAGTTCACAGAGAGCAAATGAACATCAGATCAAATTTAGCCAATATACCATCCTTGTACTCAGAAAGTGTGGTGGATTTTTTAGTGCTAATATCTCCCCAGAAAGAAAAAAAAACAGTTCCCTTCTCATTTAGACAGCCCCAGGGATGACAAATGAGAATTGTGTTAATGTCATAGCCCATAATACTCTCAAAACCCAAGATGGAATTCAGCTAAATTTAAAACGAAATGGGAAGCCATTTTCTGATTTTAGAGTAAAAAGGACGAAAGAAAAGTCAGCCTCAAGTCATTAATATATTTTGGGGAAGCGTCAGTTTTCGTTATTCTTGTTTACATATTTCCCAAAATGTTACCATCTTTACCACACAGAAATGTCCTTTTCTCTCCTCTTTAATTCTTATTTTACAGATAGTACAGTTGAGGGTTATTTCTCAAGATTTGTTGTAGGTTTTATACTTACAAAAAAGGGGAGGCAAAGTTGACCAGTTTGTGGCTTGTTGTATGGTGCAAAGCCAGGGCCTGTGATTTAATTCCCTAAATCATGGTTATGACGATGATGGTTTAAGAGGTCGACTGAAACCAGCTGCTGTGGTTTGTAAATGGCTTATGCCTTAGTTGAGATGCAGGAAGATAACCATTGCAGTGGAACAGCTTTGCCTCCAGAAATCAAGGGCGCTTCATAACTGGAGATTTTTTAAAAAGAGGCTAGACCCAGGGGTAGGCAACCTTGGCTCTTTTATGACTCGTGGACTTCAACTCCCAGAATTCCTGAGCCAGCATGGCTCAGCTTGCAAACCTCTCCCTTTCCCCTCAGCGTGGCTGGCTCAGGAATTCTGGGAGTTGAAGTCCACGAGTCATAAAAGAGCCAAGGTTGCCTACCCCTGCTCTTAATCTTCATCCTAGGATAGGGGTAGGCAACCTTGGCTCTTTTATGACTCGTGGACTTCAACTCCCAGAATTCCTGAGCCAGCATGGCTCAGCTTGGAAACTTCTCCCTATCCCCTCAGCATGGCTGGCTCAGGAATTCTGGGAATCGAAGTCCACGAGTCATAAAAGAGCCAAGGTTGCCTACCCCTGGGCTAGACAGTCACTTGTCTGAGATGGTATAGGTTCTCCTGCTTGAGCAGAGGGTGGACTAGAAGACCTCCAAGGTCCCTTCCAGCTCTATTCTATTCTATTCCTAAATTCAGGCCTCATCAGATCGGATGTAAGATTATCTCCCTTCCGAGCCTGCATTTGTGACAGTGAATACTACCAGGCTGTGCTAACAGTTTGCTTTCCCCCTGGCTTAATTTCACTTCCAAACAGCCATTGCCAAGCAGGCTCTGATTCTCACAACCTTCTTCTGTGTGGGAAAAGACACATTAAATTGCGAACAGCATATGCAGTGCAGTGGATCTGTTTGGCTTTGCTTGGCACGTCCGCTGTCTGCCTTTTCCTTGGGCACTGTCCCTCCTGGTGCATGTTTTAGCCAGGCTTCTAGTGGATAATGAGGTGAATGACAAGGGGAGTAGTGTGGCTGAGGCTGTGACGGTTGTGGCAGTGTGATTGTGAGAAACAGAGAGATTGCTTTTGTCGATGAAGCAGAGAAGGGCCAGGATCTGAGTGAGGTGAGGAGAGGAGATCGCTGAGGTAAATCTGCAACGATTTCATTTAGAAAGCACAAGTTTCAGGGGGCAGTTAAAAAGGATTGATGATTTTGGAGTCCCAGGAAGGAAATGTGGAGGTCATCTAGTCCAACCCCCCCCCCCCCCAGAGCATGATCTTCTTGACCATCTCCCATAGTCCTGCACTTCTCTGCCAATTGTCAGCTGTGATCTTGGACTTATAAAAGGAAACCCTAACCCAGTGTTTCTCAAACCTGGCAACTTTAAGATAGGTGGACTTGAACGCCCAGAATTCTCCAGCCACCATACATCCAGGCTAGGGAATTCTGGGAGTTGAAGTCCACTTATCTTAAAATTGCTGAAGTTGAGAAACACTGCTCTGTCCCCTCCTCAGCAAGATAATTTGAGGAACTGTGATATATATATATATATATTAATTCATTAATAACATACAGTGCAAATAAATCTTACACAGCCGCATTAACAGCATGCATTTTTAATCATTCCATTTCCACCTGGTCATTGCTGCTAGGAACTCCTGATGGCATATACACAGGATTTGCTGTCCCCTTCTTCCCACACCTATCGTAACAATTCTGTGAGACAGATCAATAGGAGAGATTGATTACCTCGAATACAGAATAACAGAGTTGGAAGGGACCCTGGAGGTCTTCTAGTCTAACCCCCTGCTCAAGCAGGAGACCCTTATCCCATTCCAGACAAGTGGCTGTTCAGTCTCTTCTTAAAATTGGGTATGTCTAGTTCAGGGGTAGGCAACCTTGGCTCTTTTATGACTCGTGGACTTCAACTCCCAGAATTCCTGAGCCAGCTATGCCAGCTATGCTGGCTCAGGAATTCTGGGAGTTGAAGTCCACGAGTCATAAAAGCCAAGGTTGCCTACCCCTGGTCTAGTTTAATGAAGAGAAGGATGAGGGGGGACAGGATAGCAGTCTTCCAATATCTCAGGGGCTGCCCCAAAGAAGAGGGAGTCAAGCTATTCTCCAAAGCGCCTGAAGGCAGGACAAGAAGCAATGGATGGAAATTAATCAAGGAGAGAAGCAACCTAGAACTGAGGAGAAACTTCCTGACAGTGAGAACAATTAACCAGTGGAACTACCTGCCACCAGAAGCTGTGAATGCTCCAACACTGGAAGTTTTTAAGAAGAGGCTGGACAGCCATTTATCTGAAATGGTATAGGGTTTCCTGCCTGAGCAGGAGGTTGGACTAGATGACCTCCAAGGTCCCTTCCAACTTTATTATTATTATTATTATTATTATTATTATTATTATTATTATTATTATTATTATTATTATTATTATTATAATACTCCAGTATTGGAGCAACCATGACTTCTGGAGGCAAGCTGTTCCACTGATTAATTGTTCTAACTGTCAGGCAATTTCTCCTTATTTCTAGTTTGGTTCTGTCCTTGGTAAGTTTCCATCTATTGTTTTTTGTTCTGCCTTCAGGTGCTTTGGAGAATAGCTTGATCCCCTCTCAATCCAATTTATTCTTATATTAGCTCTTACATTTGCTGATTGCCTTTCAGATTCTCTTTGGGGAGTTAAAAACTCCATCATTTTTTTTTAAATTCATAAACGAACTGCAAATACCTGCTCAGTTCCCCATCCCTACCCTATTTTTGGTCATGCTGTAGGAATTTGAGCAACTGGCAGAGATAAAGAATATAAGGGTATTAGGAAGCTCAGCTCTATAAGTAATTAAATTGCTTTTAAGCCGTGGGCCCTTGCAGAGAACGCCAACGTAGAAGCCTCCATCGCTGCAGCAGCAGCTGGATACATTTTTTTTAAAACTGCATGTAAAAATCTAATTATGGTATGAAAGATACGCTCATTCAGATCATTTCATTTCCCCAAACAAATGGGCGTTTCCTTTAAGCAGCTGCATTCTAAATTGAGACCCTACTACTGAATCAAAACATGCACAGGTAGAGAGAATTTGAGGGCATGGAACAACAGTAACAAAATTCCTATTATTATTATTATTATTATTATTATTATTATTATTATTATTATTATTATTATTATTATTATTATTTAGCCTCCAGAGCTAATGATGATATATCTTTGTTGCTTTTCTCTGCACATTTACTAGGGCCTCCGTGCCTTTTTTTTTTTTTTTTTGGTATGGTGGTGACCAACACTTTGCAGCCAAAGACTTTTTTCCTAAGTTTACTTCCCCTCGTAGCAAAACCTAGAAGGACGAGTCAAAAAGCTCGGCTTAGATTTCAAATACTTACTTTATTTGCAACTGCCAGAGGAAATAACCGGAATGGAGGGATGTCCCCCCCCAACAGGAACAAAGTGCATAAAAATTGAAAAGGGGGGAGAATGCAGTCTTGGCTTCGGTAGCCGAGGACTCCCAAGAGTGAAAACAAATATCAACAATTGTTTTCTTCCAGAAGAGACAGACAGGGCCAAAATAAGTCCTTTCTCCAGATGATCTGTGGAGAAACATCCTGTTTGCACACCTCCGCCCAGGTACCTTATGTGTCCCTGATAAATCTAAAAACCCAGTTTTTGGGGTGATGCGTTTCCAACTCCTCTGTGGGGAAGGAATTCCTTGTCAGGCTGATTCCCTCCAGAAGCACCGAGAGAGGGACCAAATTTAAGGAACCGGGTACATTTTCAATCCCGTTCAGGGAGACTGGAGAGAAACGGGAAGTTGCTCCTTCTCAATGTCGCCCGGACACCCCGGCCGGGTCTAAGTTCGAATGTAGAGAGGATCAGGAGAAAGATGATCTTGCAGAATCAGTTGAAAAAGTAGACTGATCTCTTCACCTTTTCTAGTTTGAAGTCACCTGGTGGGGAGAAAAAGGAGAGACTGAGAAAAAGTGAAGAAGGAATAATACCGGTTGGGAAAATCTAAGCCAACAAGAGTCCAAAGGGAGTGGGATTGAGCCCTGGCAGTGAGCCACGGATTCTCTCTGCAGGTGGGTACATGTCTGCCAACGGAAGTACCACTGGGACCCCACAGGATATGCTTAGGAGGACACCAATATTGTCTTTCAAACAACAAGGCCCCCGTGGCTTGCTTTAATGCCACAGGGTGAGATGGTATTCGGAACGCCCTGAGAAGCAATTTCCTTGCCAAAAGCAGGTTTGCAGCAAATGCAAACAAGCCACAAGAGCAGCATGGCGTGGCCGGTTGATAAAACCGGTAAATCAGGGCTTTTCAACCTTTTCACCCATTGTACCACTTTTAGGATATGGCAATATCCGAGTACCACCAGTCGCCTAGCAAGGTGCCAAAAACTTGATGACCAAAAAAAAAAGGAAAAAAGTGATAAAGTACAGGTAATCCTCGACTTACAACAGTTCGCTTAGTGTCTGTTTGAAGTTACAGTTCCGCTGAAAAAAGTGCCCCCCAAGCCACAGCTGAGCAAGACACCTGCCTGCCCACCCAGCGGCACTCTTCCTCCTGTCCGAGGTTTTCATTGTTATGATCATTTCTCTTGAGGATTGGCAGCGGGGGTGGGGTGGGGGGGTGTTTGGTCTGCTGGGTGTTTGCAGCAGGTTTTGGTCACTTCACATGACCCTGGGACACTGTGACCGTCATAAATATGAATCAGTTGCCAAGCATCTGAATGTAAATCACAAGACCCTGGAGATGCTGCAACATTCCAGCTGATCGGCGCTTCTCTGGGCTCAGCAGAAGCACCAGGATCAGTGCCGAGCTCCACCTGGAGCCTGGTGCTGATCCTAGTGCTTCCACTGAGCCCTGACAGCCCTGAAGAAGCGCCGATCAGCTAGAAAGCGGCACTGATTCTGGCACTTCCGCTGAGCCCTGACAGCCCTGCAGCTCCAGCCATCTCTCGCTCAGACTCGTGCGGTGCTGCCCCAGTTCAGCTCATTCCCCTCCCCCGCTACCACTTTTTTAGGATGGTCGCGTACCACCTGCCAGGTGCCAATGTACCACAGGTGGTACCCGTACCACTGGTTGAAAAACCCTGCGGTAAATCAGACAGCATCAGGCCCAAACCGAAGGAGTTTGGTGCCCAGGTGAACTCAGGTGCTTTGCTGAGATCAACTGCAACACAAGCGAAGGATTGCGTAACTTCTAAAACAGAAATGTTGGGATAGGAGTTTTATTCTGATTCTGGAGATTCTTAAAATAGAATACGAAAATGGAGCAGGTATTATTTTTCTTAGATTTGATAGGCAAAGAGCTTGAAAGAAAATTTGGAACTGTTACTATAAATGAGAGCCAGTTGGGCCTAGCGGTTAAGGTGATGGCCTAGAAACCAGGAGATGGTAAGTTCGAGTCCCACCATAGGCAGGAAAGCTGGCTGGGTGACTTTGGGCCAATCGCCAGGAGACGGCGAGTTCGAGTCCCACCTTAGGCATTCAAACCGGCTGGGGTGACTTTGGACCAATCGCCAGGAGACGGTGAGTTCAAGTCCCACCTTAGGCAGAAAGCCGGCTGGGTGACTTTGAACCAATCGCCAAGAGATGGTGAGTTCGAGTCCCACCTTAGGCATTCAAACCGGCTGGGGTGACTTTGGACCAATCGCCAGGAGATAGTGAGTTCGAGTCCCACCTTAGGCATGAAAACTGGCTGGGTGACTTTGGACTCAAAGGGTTGTTGTAGAGAAATGAGGAAGAGGAAGGAAGAAGGAATACTAGGTATGTTCGGGGCCTTAAGTTATTTGTAAAAATAATAAAGGTGATATATCTATGTCAGGGGTAGGCAACCTTGGCTCTTTCATGACTCGTGGACTTCAACTCCCAGAATTCCTGAGCCAGCCATGCTGAGGGGACAGGGAGAGGTTTCCATGCTGAGCTGTGTTGGCTCAGGAATTCTGGGAGTTGAGGTCCACGAGTCATAAAAGAGCCAAGGCTGCCTACCCCTGATCTATGTACATACACACACACACACACACACACACTAAGAAATGAAATGAAATGTGGGAGGGTGAGCTGCTATGTGGACAAGTACGCTGCTGAGAAAATTTGCAGGCCCCTGTGCTGTTTTCCTCCTTTCTCATTTGAGCCTTTTCCGGCGTCAGCACAGCAGAGTTGCCAATAAAGCAGCAACCTTGACACAGGTGTGGGAGCAGCAGACTGCGGGAGCCACGTGTGGTTTGGAAGCGCTGCAGCCACCAGCAAACAGGAGAAAGCAGCCGAGTAAAACAAAGCGGATTTTTCCTTCAATGGGAGTGAATGGTCCAGAAGGTACAGAGACGCAGGAAGGAAAGAGAGAGGTATAAAAGCAGGAGGTGGAAGGTTACAAATACTCTGGAGGCCAGCCAGGAACAGAGAAGAGAGAAGCAGAGGAAATTCCAGAGAGAGAGAGAGAGAGGAATTAAGGCAGAACAGTGTTGGCCTGAAAGAAAGCACTGTTATGCACTAGCATTACTGTAGAGTGTAGTATTGTAGTAGTAACTGAATAGTAGTGGCGTATACGGAGTGTAAGTGTTCTACTAATAGTAATTACAGGTAGTCCTTGACTTAACGACTGCAATTGAGCCCACATTTTCCGTTGTTAAGTGAGAGACACTGGTTAAGTGAATTTTGCCCCCTCTTACCACCTTTCTTGCCCCCGTTGTTAAGCGAGTCACCACAGTTGATAAGTTTGTAACCTGGTAGTTCAGGGAATTCGGCTTCCCCATGGACTTTGCTTGTCAGAAGGCTGCGAAAGGGGATCACATGACCTTGGGACACCGCAGCGGTCATAAATATGAGCCAGGTGCCAAGCGTCTGAATTTTGATCACATGACCATGGGGATGCTGGAAAGGTCGTAACTGTGAAAAATGGCCGTAAGTCACTTTTTTCAGTGCTGTTGTAATTTCGAACGGTCAGTAAAGAACTGTTGTATGTCGAGGACTCTCTATTGCTTTGAGCAGGGGTCTTCAAACTTGGCCCTGTCATGACTTGGGGACTTCAAGGCCTGGCTGGGGAATTCTGGGAGTTGAAGTCCCCAAGTCATGACAGGGCCAAGTTTGAAGACCCCTGGATTAGGGCTATAGAAATAATAGCAATGGGATAAAATATAAAATACAGGCACTCCTCGACTTACGACCACAACTGCGCCCAAAATTTATGTTGCTAAGCGAGACCGTTGTTAAGTGAGTTTTGCCCCATTTTACGACCTCCTTCTGATTAAACAGTGTCATCTATTGGGACCTCAGAAGCAGACCCTGTCCTCTGAAGGGGATCCACTCTGTTGCTGTTCAGAAGAGGAAGAAGCCCTGACTAGGATCACCCAGGCCTTGGGTAAGGACAACTGACGCCTCCTTTTAACTCGGGTTGTTTTCTTTTACTTCTACCCAGTTTTGTCCTGCCCTCTCTATCCATTTTTGTCTCTCCTTTTTTGTTGTCGTGTTTTAAACAAGTTGGGCAGCATATCAATGTAAATAGTAATCAAACAGCTGCTAACCACCTCTGTCTATCCCAGGTCGATAGGTAGATAAACAGGCCGAATCCAGTCTGAATATCTGGTTGTGCAATCAACCATAATCTGCGCTCTATAAACCTACTTTTCTGTTGCTTAAATCAGGGGTCTCCCGCCTGGGCCACTTTTAAGACTTGGGGACTTCAACTCCCAGAATTCCTCAGCCAGTCCTGGCTGGCTGAGGAATTCTGGGAGTTGAAGTCCCCAAGTCTTAAAGCTGCCAAGTTTGAAGACCCCTGTGCTAGAACAATGCAATCAATTCAGTCTTAACGCAGGTAAGAAGCCAATGGGCTTGGACCAGGGGTAAGCAACATTGGCTCTTTTATGACTCGTGGACTTCAACTCCCAGAATTCCTGAGCCAGCATGGCTCAGCTTGGAAACCTCTCCCTTTCCCCTCAGCATGGCTGGCTCAGGAATTCTGGGAGTTGAAGTCCACGAGTCATAAAAGAGCCGAAGGTTGCCTACCCCTGGCTTGGACCAAGGAATTTAGCAACAGGAGATAAGCCAATGACTCATTGCTCAATCACCAGGCTCAATCTGGCTATTGTACAGCAGACAGGGGCATCATTCGAGTCACGCTTAACATTGGGGGGGGGGCGTAAAAGGGGGGGAGGCATCATGCATGTGAGCACAGCTGGGGATGGGGTCTATTCAGTGGCAAGGCTATTTTAGGCTTGCAGATACAGTTCTTACGCATTTCCCACTGAAAAACAATAAGAATATAGCGCCATCAATTTTCACCAATCTGGGCCGCGACAGGACTTCAATCAGCTGCTTTTGACACCCTGGTGACAGTCGAAAGGGAGTCAGATATTCTAACTCTGTCAACTCCCCAAATGAAGGTTTGCAAAAGAAGTAACCAAGGCTCGTCACATTTGCACGAATGGATGTCGCCCCTGACATTCCTCAACTTACGACCACGACGGAGCCCAAAAATTCTTTTAAGCGGCACATCTATTAAGTGAATTTGGCCGCCTTTTTTGCCGTAATTGAATCACTGCAGTTGTTTAAGTTAGTGTGATGGTGGTTAAGTGAATCTGGGATTGACTTTACTTGTCGGAAGGCCACCGAAGGGGATCGCGTGACCTCCAGGATGCAGCAACCGTCATAAATACGAGTCAGTTGCCAAGTGTCTGAGGTCTGATCACGTGACCAGGTCAGAGGTCACGTACAACGGTCAGAAGCGTGAAAAACGGTGATGTCACATTTTCAGTGGCCTAACTTCCTCCCCCACCCCAATTACAGTCCAAGAAACTCGGGAGGGTCCCTTCTGAGATGTTTGCCAAGGCCTCATTCCTTCTGGAGGCTAAGCTGCCTGTTATCACCAGGGCTAGCACATCAGCGGCAGTAGGACTGATGGTGTTACCTGGCTGGGTAATGAAACGTCTGCCAGGAAACAGCCAAG